GTATCTATGTATGTGAACTAATTAATAAATGCAATGTGGCATCATCTACTACTGGATGGCACCACAAAAAAATCCATTAAAAAATTCCCTACTTTGGGTATTGAAGATTTAGACAATTAGAAACATAACTACAATATGTGTAACAACCATTTCTTTATCACAGAACACAATTTTAATAAAAGTACTCTCTTCATAAAAAGAACAAGACTTTCACTAGGATGTACATGAGGGTTTGATTATATCTTTATTGATGTCGTTTGTAAATATTGTACTAAAAATGGAGTTCTCAAAAATAACTTTTTTTTCAATAAAGAGTACCATTTTTAACATATAAAAACATTACAGTTTATATCAACACAATACAAACACTTCTCATGCAGTACTTCTCAGAAAAATCCTTTTTTAGAAAATGTTCACTTTTTCTAAATTTCTTTCAATGAGGTATGAATACTATGATTAGTAATTACTAGAACAAACAGTTGCCCATGGAGCAGCATTTCTGCTAGTGTCCCATAACTATCACAGTTTTGGTGACTTTCTAACAATGCAACAAGATTCCCCTTGATTCCTATGGAAACAAAGTTTGAACTGGAAGAAATATAGAAAATTCTCTGTACAGAAAACAATGTCATTTGACGGATGAAAATCTTGGCTTTCTAATAGTTTCAAATAATATAGCATTGACCCTCTCACCCCGGGTACCCTTTACTGCACATGACACAAGGTTTCAGTATCTTATATTCAAAATTTTATTAAACTACTTTTTGTTTATGTTATACCAATTAAAATAGCATAAAATCTTAGCTAATAACCAATATTTTAATAGTATACAAGTTTTATCTCTCTTATCACACTTTTAACATCAGCTCACCAGTGCTGGATTTCTTGTTTAGTTCAGGTGCTAAGTTCATTATGGCTAATGTTTCTTTTAATCTTAGCCACTGCTCATTTTCAGCCTATCCGATAATTTGGAACTGTTCAATTTCTACATTTACATTCATGCATTTTTTTTATGTCCGAAAATGTTTGAGAATTCTGCATACCTTGACACACTATGTTCTTTAACTCGATCACTAAGCCTCCTCACCGTCAACCCTATATACGCACTATTACAAACAGAGCACTGATATCTGTAGATGACATGTTGATCAGTCCGCTTTACAAATTATTTCTTTAAATACAAAATAGTTCCTTATTCTGTATACTGGTTTAAGTACCACACGTAGTTCAACTTGTGGGTACACATTACAAAGGAAGTTCTTTATATCTTTCTTGATTTTCAAAGCATGTGTTCCAGTAAATGGTAATGTCATATACACAATCTTTATTAGAACACTATCTTTCTCTTCCTTACGGGTGGCCGCTTTGTTGATATAATCATTGATAACTCGTGTTAAAACTTTTATTGGGAAGTCATTCAAATACATGTAATTTTTTATGTTCTCCACTTCATTTATAAACAGTTCAATATTACTACATAGTTTATGAGCACGATATATGAGAATTCCAATTATATTCCCTTTAAAACTATTAGGTATAAAGCTATTATAGTTAAAGTACAACCCCAAAAATGTAGATTTATGATAAATTCCAATTTCAAATTTATCATCTATTTTCTTAACTAGAGTGTCTAAAAAGGCTAACATGTAAAGTCTTTCTTTTTCTACCGTGAATTTAATAATATGATGTTGTTTATTATTAATTAATTATTATTTAATATTATGATGTTGTTTATTCAGATAATTCAAAACATTATCTACTTGTTCTTCACTTTCAAATACCGTAAATGTGTCGTCCACATATCTTTTATACACTGTCAGTTTAATTTCCTTTGGACATTCTTCCAACCATTTCTTTTCCTTAAAACACATAAATATAATAGCCAATATGGGGGCCAAACAGGAACCCATACTAATTCCATCTTTCTAATCATAAATCTTACCATTAAACAAAAAATGTGATTTTTTTGTAGCTATAATCATTAATCCATGGAATCTCTCTTTCGGTACTCCCATAAAACTACCCCTTTTCTCATATAATAAGGTTTTACATATCTCAATAGTTTCATCTTATGGTATGCTAGTAAATAATGATTCTACATCAAAACTTGCAATTACTACATCCTTATCAAATTTCAAATCCTTAATATTGTCTACAAATTCAAAGCTATCTTTCAGAGTATATTCATTATTAATAAATTCTTTTAAATCTTTACTTAAAAATTTTGCTAATTTGTGATTATAGCAACCAATGTTAGAAACAATAGGTCTCATTGGACAATTGTCTTTATGAATTTTTGGCAATCCATACAATATACCCTCATGTGAACCACAAGGTCTTATTTCTTTATAAATATCTTCTGTTATGATGTTCTATTTTTCAGTTTTAATAAGTATCTAATCAAATTATTTTCTCTGGTTTTGGTGAGATCTTTTTTTAAGGACTTTAAATTTATTTTTGTCCTTAATAATTTCATCAAACTTGTTGTTACAGTCTTCCTTATCTACAATGACTACTTTGTTACCTTTATCAGGCTTCATAATCATTATCTCTTTTTCTTACTTAACCTTATTAAGGCTTGATTTTCTAGCCACCTACTATTCCATGGTTTAGAATTCAAGTTGCAACTTCGTAAACCATTTAAACCTATACTAGTAATATGTGTACACACATTATTAAAATTAATTTGAGCAGATGAATCAACCTTACAACACTTAAGATCCTTTAATAAGAGTTCAAATCCTAATAAATAATCATGAAATTCCAATTTCTTAGAAGTGATTGCAAATCCTAATCTTCTAGATAATACTTTCTTTTAAACAATAATTTGATCAATTTATTATCACATCATCAGGATTACTGAAAAATGATTTACTAATTTGGTTTTTCTTCAAGTTTAAAAATGTTTTATTTTGTGCTAATTTTATTTCTATCAGTTAAGTGTTGTTATTTCTTATAATCTTATTATTCAAACAAAAGAAGTCAACGCTACTAATTATCTTTTTAAGTTGTAATTTATCTTCAATTATAATTTTTCATACTTTTTAAATGTTTTCTCCTTATATTTAATTTCACTTTCTAAAAACTTTTTTCTGAGTTTCTTTATATTGTTTTAATTCTTTGAACCTAAAATTAGCAGTTTTAAAATTTATTCAAAAGTTACAACTTTATTTTTTTTTATTTAATTTGATATAATCTTTTTCAAGTTTTCTATACTTTTTTAACACTTCTTTATTATACCTTTTCTGTGTAATTTGAATAGTAGAATTGTTTTCTTAAATGTGATATAAATCTGAGTAATAACGAAATAACAAAAAACATTCTATATTGACTAAAGTTACGCCAACCCAAGTCACCTATTAACCAAATACTTTTACACAAATACCAAGATTAACAATTTATGACATTCTTAAGTATTTTATAAACTAATTTAAAAGAATAAACTCAATATATTAATAATAATAAAAAACAACAACAACCTTGATCAGATGAATGTTTAAGGTGACATTTGAACAACATCTCTCCAGTTTTAGTCATACCTTCAAAATGTGAAAACCATTAAACTTCTAAAGTAACAAAGCAATCCCTATCCCAAGTAAGTTTCAATTTAGTGTTATATTTTTGAGTGGAAATCATGATCACCAAATGGTACATTCCCGATTCACTAAAAAAAATTATTCCAATCAGAATGTAAAATAATTAAGTTAATTAAAAGAAGAAAGATGAACAATTTGGTGGGTTAGTAACTTTCTGGATTGGTATCTTAGTGATGGTTTCTTGCCTTATTTTTGGGCTTGTTGGGGATGAGAAACAAACGAAAGTGAATGGCAATCATATTTTAAAGTAAAACTCCCTCGCACTGTTGATTTTTTAGTATGCATATTTGTGTTATGCCTATTGAGTACCATCCCTACATATAGAGTCTACTGACTCTATGATACAGATATTACTTAGGCAAAGCATAATTTTTATAGCCTTCAATCTTATTTGTTTACAGACCCATAAACCCAATTGCCACACCCACCTGTCACATCCTCTCTTTCATAAATTGTCATTAATTTTCTCTGACGTTTCATACTATATTATTTATAACCAATGAAAAGCTAAAAGTTTCAATCAATCAATTGACATATCATATTACATTGTTTTCTGTACAGAGAACTGTCTATTTTACTTTCAGTTCAAACTTTATTCCCATGGGAAACACAATGACAAGTTTAGCTGAATTTTTAATGGCTCTTGTCGCGTAGTTAGAAAGCCAGAAAAACTGTGATAGTTATAGGATATTGTGTGCTATTTATGTGTTATTATTCTGTGTTCTTTGGCACATTACTTAATTAAACCAAAAATTATTTAGTGTGGTAGTACCATTGATATAAAAAAGGCTTAAGTTTCATAAACAGTCTACAGCAAGAAAAAGGAAGACCCAGGCAAATACTATAATTCTTGTTTTTCCATGTGTATTCTTTATTTATTACCAACAAAGTAACTAAAATGTAAAAATTAGATACTTATGAGGTTAGATAAGGTTAGATTCAGTACAATAATGAATAATATTAACAACAAAAGTTATTCAGGAGGTATACTGACAAACAGATCTTGCAATATGTAATTCAATTTGGTAAAATAAGCCACACATTCACTGAGTGATTTACAACTTGTGTAGCAAGATTATTAGTTAGATGTAGTTCAAAAGCCAATAAAACAATAAAATTAAGCATAAATAGATGTATACTGTTAAAAGCTTGAAGTTATTTAGGATAAACAATTGTGATTTCCTGTTACAATTTGCAGTCTTCCAGAAAGTAAAAAGGGTAACTTACAAATATGTTTTAATTTTTTTATGGTGGTTACGAGGTCAGTCAATTCGACTAACTGTGTACAGTCACAGTATAGAAATTAACAGATAAGATGTAAAGTTCTTCTGGTTTTGTTTGAATTTCATGCAAAGCTATCTGCTCTAGCTGTCCATAATTTAGCAGTGTAAGACTAGAGGGAAGGCTAGTCATCACCACCCACTGCCACTACTCTTTTACGAATGAATAGTGGGATTGACCGTCACATTATAATGCTCCCACAGCTGAAAGGGCAAGCATGTTTGGTGGGACAGGGATTCAAACTTGCAACCCACACATTGCGAGTCGAGCTCGCCATGCCAGGCCAAAAGTTCATCTGAAAAAAAAACATTTGATATTTTTTTAGGAGATTTGGAGGATTATGCAAATGAAATTTGAAAAATTTCAGATGAAGAAAAGTATTTTTGATCTTGACATGAAAACTACTTTGCACTCGGAGCAGTAAACACTCTGACACCATATAATTACAGACAAAGTTTTAGTAGAAATACTTAATTAAAAATAATGATTTTTTTTTTGTCTACAAAATACTTTTAATGTTTACTGAAAGCTAGTAAATGTCATGAACATACATTAAATAATTTCATGGGCATAGTATGTATACCACCATGGTTACATGGTGATTACAAGATAATGTAAAACATACGATCCCATTGCAAAAGTAGTTTTCCTTTAAAATTGGCTTTTTCTGTAGTTATTCCCATGTTGCATTCCACATATGTTTTTATTATTTTAAGGTATCAATGTTTGAATGGATAGATAAAACAACAACCTACTTTTAGATCTTTACGAAATGTTGTGCTTTTTCCTTGGGATATTCCAGCAGCTATTACTGCTCCACAATGAATCATTGGACCCTCCTGTAGAAAAAAAAAATAATGTTCGATCTAAATGTTGAATACAAAAATCTAGTAATAATGGGAATCTGTACAAATATTCACTTATAAACTGTCCAGATATATCATTAAAGGAAAATTCAACTACTTACCTTTACATGAACTTGTAGCTAATTTAACAACAAAAAATCAACCAAGACATCTCCATAAATCTATTAGATGGTCTTGTGGAGTAAGCCTATTCAAAAATTATTTTATAGTGCTAACAAACTACCTCCACCAACCCAAAACCTTGACTTGTACTTACAAGTATGGGAGAAAGCTAGAGATAATCCATTTTTAAGACGAGAAGGATAGGAATGTGTTCATCAAGAGGTGAGTACTTTATACTATTTTCAAGCTGAAAATGTAGATTTCAAATACTGATTGAGAAGAAACATCATTCTCAATTGGAGAATAACTCTAATAATCATAAGGCATTGACCATGTTGGATCATAAAAACTGTCCACAGATTTACTGAGATTAGGCTAGATACAGTTACGATTAGGAAAGCTAAACTTAATGGGACATGGACCAGGGTATTTTACAGCAGTATTCTATGTCAGCTTCATCAAAACAGATGGGCAACCTGGATATCCATTAAAATAAGGTACATAATTTGAATAAGGATGATGTCACAAGTTCAAATGCCTAACTAGAGTAACTTATATTCATTCTAACTGATTTAAAAGTATAATGTGTGACATTTAAGTACCTTTAAAACTCTAGGATAAAAGTTGTCTGGTCCAGGAGATTTATCAATTTTTAGGTTTCCCAACTTTTCTTTCACAGTTTCAGAATTTAAAATGATATCTTTTGCATCAATATTTTCCCCATACATTAAGTGCTCTGGTTGAGGCATAATACTTTGTATCTTTGTAAGAACTGAAGAGAACATATAATTTAATAAGTTTACCATCTCATAATCTTCTGAGATCAGCTCCCCCACCATTATTTTTAAGAGGCCCAATCCTCATCCTAACACATTTTGCTTTCCCATCATATACCTAAAGAATTCTTTATTGTTTGATTTAACTCTCTCAGTTAAACCTCTTTCATATACAATTTTTGCCCTTTTAACTTCCTTTTTAACCAGCTCTCTTGATTTCCTATAGTCCTCCAAGTCCATATTATTTCCAGTAAGTTTAAATTTCTTGAATTTATTATGTTATCCCTAATACGATCTCTTACACCTTTACTAAACCATACCAGCTTATTCCACTCCACTGCCCTTTATTTTTGTAGGGAATATGTATGGACCTCAAAGAAAGAAGGCCAAGAAAAATGTCATAGATGATTTATTGTGAAACTTTTCTATCAAGGCAACACCTGATTACAAAAAGAGAAATATCCAGGTATGAATATACTTGAAATAAAATTGTTTTAAGTTTCAAGAGATGTTACTAGGTTGACAGGTGCATCACTAGTTTGTTTCTGTTAAAAACAAGTGCCTGTTTTTAAATCCCACTTGCTAATGGAAGTAAATGATGTAAGCATGCTCAAAGAAGTCCACATGCCACTTTGAAATTATTCTTCAAAGTAAAATAAGCTGTACCAAAAGATATAAGCAGTTGGTGAATTTGATGCAAAGTCACTTACATAAAAAATACACCCAAACAAAATCATTCCACAAACCTTGCTGATGAATCTTCTGATCCACAGAGTAAGTCTAACAAGTGAAAACTGGACATCCAGTGGATAGAGAAGCAAGAACATTCATTATAGAGTGGCTCAGTCTCAACGAAATAATAATGTGTAATGACAGGACACAGTAATCTGTCAGAGTAAGAGCACTTTAAGTGACAGGTGACAAAATTTTTTGAGCTGTTCAAATCTCAAGTATAAAGGAATGGCTAAGAAAAAGGTAGAACACATCCTTGGCAGAGATAATAAGAGATAAATAATAACAATTATAAAAAGATCCAAAACTAATGGTGCACAGTATGATGCAAATAGTACTCATCAAAACCGGGCATGGAGTAAATCAAACCAGGGCCAACCATAGAGTGAAAGGTGACAACACAAGAACAAGTTTTGTGGAATGTCTCATGTTAAAGAGTATACTTGTATCATGTACTAAAGAAATATGGTAGAGAGAAAGGTTAGCAAACCTTTTTGATCAAGGCAACATCTACCTACATAGAGAGCAATACTTGAGATATCAGCAAACATGAAGAACAACAGTGAAGAAAAGTTACATATGGTTGTTGTCACAAGGATAGCATATGCATATCTGAACCACCACAACTCAGTCACAACAAAATTATGTAAGTGACGGTATGCCCTAACAATAATCAAAAGTTCAAACAGTGGATATGGGAAAAAGTCTCCAAGCCATGGGTCTGGTAAACAAGAACTGTAGGGTGGAAACGTCTATATTCAAATGAAAGATCCCTATTTACTTTCCACTGGTCTGCAAGAGAACACCCAAAAGACTGAATGAGCTAACTTGTAAGGGAATAATGCTCTACAAAAATCAATTCTAAAACAAGATAAATCTTCCATTTTTGTAAAATAAAAATGTTTGGGAACAGTAGAATAAAACCTACAGTGGAAGTGATGAGAATCTCACATAAACAATACAATAAGTAAGGCAAAGTTGAGCCTTGAAAAATTTACTAACTAGTTTACATGGAAAGCAATATTGAGTGTCAGTAAACTTAGGTTCCTTGCTGACTAGAATTAGACAGTCTTCATGCAGTAATGAAAGTATATGCACAGACAATGAACCACAATACCAAAATGCACTGGCAACACTGTTGAAGGCAAAGAAACTAGGAGAAGCCCAAACTGAAGACTGTAGAAGTGATACATAACTCCAACATTGACAAAATGAAGAAAATTCCATATGTCCAAATAAATGTATGATGTGAGATTCAGAAATGTTAAATTTTTTATTTAAAATTCCAAGGAGAGTTCAATAAAATTCTCAAAAAATGTAAAATCTGAAGTGAAGGAGAATCAAGAATGATAAAGATTGGAGAAATCCTCAACAGGTCTCCAGTTGTCACATATTTCTGAACCAGAATTTGTAAAAGTAGAGCCCATAATATACTTCCAAATCATGTCGATGGCCATCTTGTTTATGAGATTAGAGCCCTTCTGACCCAAGTATTTAATATGAACAAGATTTGGAGGTGAAAAAAAATGGAATATTGAAGAATAAAAAGTGGCAGAAAAGATAAGAGTTTCAAAGATAAAAACCAAAATTAAGATTACAAAATTCCCACAAAATCCATATTAAAAGCTTTCCATTCCCCTAAAAATTGAAAATAAAGGAGGTGATCCTTAAAAATGACAAAAAACTTAAACTAGAGGCAAGGTGTCAGTACTGAAATAAAAAATGTTAAGCTGGTAAGGTGGGACCTAAGAATATCCTAGTAATGTAAGATTAAAGAGACATCTTATGAGCAGCCAAAACATCAGTCAAGCTAGTAAAATATATATAAAAAACAACAACCAAGAACCAAGTCAAACATTAAATTTGCAAGAGAAATGTAGATGATAAAACCAAAATAAACATCCTTTTTACAAGAAATATGTAGAAAAAGGAGATAGAACCTTAAACAGCCGATTCACCAAAGATTGAAAAATTCAGAAAGAAAAAGTTCATAAGTGGCAAGAAAGAATAGAACTGATAAGAAAATCAAAAGGCCCCAGTAAAGACTGAAAATATTCAAATGCTGTGTCTCTAAGGAAATAGTAGAATCAGAGGTAGTAAAAAAAAAAAAGCATAAGAGAAAGAAAGTGCACTCTAGTCAAAATATAACCTACCCAAAAAAGGATAGATGAAATAAAACAGATAAGGAAATTCCAAAAAAGTTCCAGTGAATTGAACAGAAGAAAAAGGCAGCAGAAGACACAGACTGCAAGTTCAATGAAAAGTAACCTGTTGAACACAATGAAATGGACAACACTTCACTAAGTATTTAAAAAAAAAAAAAAATCAATGGTAAAATCTATCTGGGGAGTAAAATTCTGCTCATTTTCAAAATACTCAGACAAGATTGAAGGGAATGAAACACAGGGTAAGCATGTAGATTATCAGAATGGCAAAATATACTCAGAAATAAACTTATAGTTCAATAGGTGAGAATGAGAAAACTTAATAGAAAAAATAACAGAAGGATACTAGTGTAGAAAATAATGAGCAAGAAAGGTTAGAATCTTAATATAATTTGAGACTAACTTTCCAAAAGGGAGTGGCCTGCAAATAAAAAATAGCAAAAATAGAGCACGTTTGGACCGTATGATTGTCACTCGAAAGCAATGTCAAATGCTGTACGAGATCATATTAAATATTTCAATGCAAGTGATATTTGCTGATTATGAAAGGAAATCCCTCAAGATGAAACAAGAAGAATGTTAGAGAAAATATGTTTGCTAACACAGGCCTGCAAATTTAAACTTCATAAAAGTTGTTTTTGTGTTAATAATGTATTCTCCTAAATTCAGCTATCCAGATTTCAAAAGTAATATTCTTTTTTTTTCTATTACCTCAGGATTTTTTTAGAAATTGGGAAGAAAAAGTTAACATTTTCTTAAACTGAAAATGAATTTCCAATAATACTTACCTCTGCTGACACTCTAGCTATTACTTGATCTCCAGGGTTTCCATTCTTTGCCCATCTGAGCATTAAAAATGTTTGCTCCAGTCTTTTATACCACACTCGAATGCCTTTGACCTAATTTTCAAAATTCTCCACCAACTTCAATGTGTCCTATATCTAAGTACTGTATATAAGCACCTCGTTCAGATAATGTAACCAATTTTTTGAGACATAAACCAGCTTTTAGTGGGGAGGTAGGGCAGGAGAGTGTCAGCGGAGCATTATTGGAAATACATTTTCAGTTTAGGAAAATGTTAACTTCCAAAACATACTTTCCTCTGCTGACACTATAGCTAGAATCCCACATTGAGAAGGTAGAGGGGCCAGTGCAGGCATGAACCATACAAAAAGCTTCTGTACAGAACAGGAGTGTA